TCCAACACTGAACAACATGCAGTCTTCGTTTAAATTATACATTTTTTAATATGTTTGTATTACTGATTTTACCTTTTTTGTGTTGTGTTTTCTTGCTGTAGTTTCTCCCCATGATTACTGTTTTATTTGTTTAATTATCATTATATTTAGCAATTGTACTTTGACAATGCCCAAAGACTTATGTAAATTAGTTTTATTTTGTTTTAGATACTGAAGATGGAATCTGATAGAATTCTGAAACATTTATCTGTGTTCCTTTTTTGTTAATAAACAATGTTGTATATCATAAGTGTAGTAATCTTGTTTATAATCAAACATCATTTTCCTTCAAACACATCAATTGCTAAGATACTGTTTGTTAAGTTTATGATGAGTTTCATGCAGTTTGGTTAAGTATTTCCACTGATTATATTTAGCACATTCTCTTGTTCTCACACCTTTCATGATCTCACAGCATGTGGTCTGCACAACTACTAACCAGCTTTTAAAATACCTATAGGTAAAGTTTAAATACCATTGTATAGGGTAGGCTATAAATTGATTATTTCAACATAGAGGGAATAATATGGCATGAGGGGTAATTTATGATTTTATTGGAAAGTGACAAGGTGTAACTCCTACAAGAATGGTCATTGGAATCTAAACTGAAGTTTATAATACTCAGAAACAAACCATAGATCTGGGAATATTTTAATGGTTTCTTTAGAAAATTTTTATTCTTAAAATGTTTTTGTGTGAAATGATATTTATTCAAAAGTTTATTCTCAGACATGACATCAGGTGAGCTTAGTAAGGTTTAGAAAGTACAGTAGGTGACTGCAAAATATTCTGATGACTCAAATCCTTATTTATTGAATATTATTGTTAGGCTTATAATATTTAACCCTTTGGCAATGGGGTGATGCATTTTACATCAACTCAACTGGGAAAGGTCATTTATGCAACAATACATATAGTAACTCCACAATATTCTCACAAAAGCTGGTAATACTTTGTTAAAGATAATAAGTATCTTGTATACAAAAATGACATTATTTTAATTTTGTCTTTCTAATAAAGATGGGATATTTATCTAGAGTAGTTATTTCCACTCAAATCCTGAATTAAAACTATTCAGGATTGAGTGCAAGGTGAGTTTCATTTTAAGTATAAAAAGTTTATAGTTTCATATTTCATTTGCATAACTTCTAGAACCTAAATGACTATCAAAAGTTGTTTAAGTTAAATGTTTATATTTTATTTCTCATTTTCTCTACCGTATCACTAACTCTAGCTATTATCATCAGTGTACAATGCAATGAAATGATTAAAATTAGGATATAGAAAAAGTACATACCTTTTAATTTTTTGTAGAATATCTTTAAAGATCTTCTTTTGGTTATATTTGTAATTTCAGGTCTTTTTTCCTTCTAAGTTAGTTAAATTTTAATGTTTTATTTTCCTTTTTTGTTCTTTACCATTTATTATTCATTGTTATATAAGTCAATGGTGCCCTCTGGTAGAGATGCACAACCCTACAGCAAAATTTGTGTGCACCACGTAATATCGTAAGCCTTGAGAATGGATGCAAAGTATGATGTATATTTAGAAAATGTTTAAACCTTTCAATTATGCATATTAAAACATAAAAAATACATAATCAACTAAAATATAAAAGTAAGACCTAAATTCAGTTTAATTGTATCTCTAACTATAACATATTTTGGTAAGAAACAACTATAAGTGCTAATAATGGCTGAAGATGGCTTGAATGGGTAATTAAGAAAAACTTTAATATAAGTTTAACTTAACAGCAAATGTACAACGTTTCGACAAGGTTTTGTCATCATCATTTTGAAATAAAGGACTTAAAACTTAGATAATATAAAACTTTGAATTATAATTTACATTATAATGTTAATTTCATTCACATACATTGGTAGTAAAGGTGTTGAATGTAACACAGTGAGTTGTGCAGAAAAGTGTTTAAAGGGGTATCTATGTTGAAAGGGTTAAACAATAAACATTAATAAAATAAACTATTATTTATTGAAGAGAAGCTATATTTATTAGATATAAATTGAACTCAACACAGATTATTGTTATCTAGCTTGACCTAACACCATTATAAGAGTTCAGGTCCTACATGACTGGTGGATCTTTGTCAGTTTATGTGGTGTTTTGTACTATTTATAGCTGGAAGTGGTGACTACTGAGATTGGCCAAATACAATATCAAAAGAAATATGAATATCAGTCAAGTTGAAATTGATTAGATGTATGAAATGAAACTTTCTAATTAACAATAAGAAAATTGAAATTCTAGGATGAAAGGAAGCCTTTGAAATTCTCTTTTATTTTGTTTTTTGTAAAATTCCTTTTTGAAGTTATGAAAATTTGGCACTTGTAGAATGTAGTTATTAATAAAAGTGATAAGTCACTTATCAAACTAGTATATTACACTACTAAACTTAATCATATGTTAGGTTTCAAGCTAAATAATGAATTATTAATATTTCATTGTGTAAAGTAATCAACATTTTGTCTTTCTCAGAGATTTAATTTCACGTGACTTTGCTGTGGAGTTTTATGAAGATCACCCTGAACTTCAGAAGTATTGGTATGAAAATTTAACTTCCTTTTTATTCAAAAACATGTGAAACATATTTTCAGCTGTAGCAGTTATAATAAATAATTATTTATTAACAGTGCAGTTATGCTACATTAATATCCACAAAAATAAATATAGTTAATTATAAGTATGAAGTCATTGGAAGAATGGCTGATATGCTGTATTGTGATCTGGTTCAGATGTCTTAGGTGGCCCATGTATCTTTACTCAGTACTTGCAAAGCATTGTATTAATAGGAAAAGAAAAAGAAGTATTTTTTGTATACCTCTTCACACAATTAGGCTATCTTATCTGTACATCTGTCTTAGATATTCACATGCCATTAGGCAACTCCCATGTAATTTGATGAGATTTCTCTTGAATTGCACTACTGCATTATTATGTTTTTATGCAGCAAAAGTTCTCCACCAATAGGTGTGTGATACACTTCCTTGATCAGTTGTGTTCCTTTAACCTCAAGCCTCACCCTTCCCATTTATCTGATTCTTATATCCTTGATTTTTGGTATTCTGAATACCCTTTTATTATTTTCACATTTGGGATTGCCCTTGCCTATTTGGGGAGAGGGGGCTATTTGATGTAGGTTTTGCCTTCCAGTGCCCAATACTTCTCTCTTCTATTAATCCTTTTCATTATGCCTGTTTACCTCTCTTTTTTTAAATTTCAAATCTGAGGTGCTCCACCATTCCCAGGATCATTTTGTGGGTGATTCTAATTCCCTTCACTTCACCATTGTGTCCTATACCTGCTCACTAGGCTCTTTATTGCTTGGAATTATTGGGTAGTGATACTCTCTTATCCCAAGGTCAACTTCCTTCTATGAGACCTTCACCTGGCCTCCTTTCTTGGCCCTTAAATTTAGAGGTATTTCTGATTTGATTGAATCATTGGCTGTGGCTGCCCCTATCATCAAACCTCACTTTCATTCTTAGTTTTCACACCATCCCAAATCCAACCCTCCACCATTGTACCTTGAGTTAGACCCCAGTTTCCCATCTTTTGATTTCCACTTCCTCTTCTTCCCAGAGTCAGATTTGTTGAGCTCGTCTGTGATAATTAAGTCAATTTGGGTCATGTTGGTGCTTGGCTATCACAATTTGAGCTTCTGGGGTGACACTTTTCCATCTACACAAGGGTTACTATACTTTCACCCAATCCTTTTTCTCTCCTTCTCTCAGCCCTCATTATGTTTCCTTTTCCTCCTTTTGATCCCATCTATGTGCAGTATCTCGTAAAGGCAGTGTTTATAAATACTTCCAAAATTTCCTCACTCCCACTCAATATGTTATTCACCTGGGAGTGTTTTTCAAGTCTTTTCTCAGTTGTACTGAGCCTTCTTTCATCTACCATCTGCCTATTCTACTCCTACTGCACGAGAGATTTTTAGTGTTTGGAGACCATGGTTTCACTGGAACTGCTTATCCCTTTGGGTCACACACACATATGCACCTCCTCTGTTTGTCCTTCCTCGACCAAAGAACTCTCTCACAGGGTACTTTGACCTTAGTGGTTCACCTATCCCCCCCTCCTCTACTTGATAATTTGTATTGATGGCTGGACCAATCCAATATCATCATCGGTGTTCTGTTACCTCCACCCAAACTGGACCTGCGTGTCTTCACCAATGCTTCCCCATCTGGTTGGGGTTCATCTTTGAACAATAATTTCACATCTGGCTTTTGGACCCAGGACAAGTCCTTTCACCATATCAATGCACTCAAACTTTCAGTAGTTCATCAAACATGCTCTCATTCTTACCCCTCCTAGTGGATCATTTCAACGACAACTCGGTTTCTCCTATATTAAATGCCAGAGGGAAATAAAATTCAAGACCCATTGCTTTCTTACCCTGGACATTATTGAACCAATCCTCATCAGGTTCCTCCACTCATCAATGCCTTGCAACCACTCTCATTTCTAATTTCCCTCTTTTCTGATCACCTGTTCCCTAACCCTCAGCCTTGGCTATTGATGCCCTCAGCCAGGACTGGTTTTATACTTTTCCTCAAGATTTCCCACATCTCCATCTTTTACATCAGGTTCTGGCCTTGATTGGAATCACTCCTTGTCTTGTCCTCTTGGTAGTACCCATCTGGTTGGGTCAACCTTGGTTCTCTCTTCATTGCCCATTAACTTCATGATCTGGCTGTGTCATCACCTGAAGGCTACCTCCTGCCTCTGTGCACATCCTACAGTCTACCCACCACCTTTACAGTTGAATACATTTATCTTTTTTTATTACAGGATTTGTTAATAGGATCGTGACTGGTGGTGCCTCCCAGGGTATATTTATTTTCCAAAATTCTGCATCCAGCCAGGATAACGGAAAGCACTCCTACCACCAGCCCTGACTCCATACATACCTACTGTTGAGATGGGGTGTTTTGCAAGACCACTTGAGGTGTCTTTGTGGTATATATATATATTTATTTAGACTGTACCTATTCCATGGACCATCATAGAAAAAGCCAGCACCACGAGGTATTCAGCCTGCTTCCCTGTCTCATGTTTACAGTCTTTTCAAAGTAAGGATACATGGTCACCCATTGTCTCTGGTTAAAACAAGACTGATAGGAATCTGGGCATTTTCTCAAGGTCTACCCACTGTGAATTACTCCCCCCCCTTCTCATCAAATGGAACATGGGAGACCCTTCCCATTTACCAGTTTCTAGCCACTGTAGTGGTGAACCATATAAAATTCTCACTGATTGGAACCTAACTGCTGAGGCTATAACAAGGGGTGCCTATCAGTGGGAAGTGGGGCATTGGTGACACTGTCAGCATAGTGCAGGTCATCCCTCATATAACTATACTTATAACATGCCAATCGTGCCCTCCTCATGCAGCCCTTGAATGTCCAGTTGAGTCTAGGTGAGCATGTACCACTACAATGTGTCCTCCTCCTGTGATCATGTCTATTCAGTAGAGTCTAGATGAACACATTATACCCATGGGCCCTCTTCCTGTGGTCATCTTCTATTCAGTTAAGTTGAGACAAGAACTCACTAACAAACTGTGCCTTCCTCCTGCAGCTGTCTGTTCAGTCACGTTGAGGTGAGCACACACTATATTCCACACTCTGTGATGTAGATTCTGTGCCATTCTCCCGCAGCACCTGTGTGAAAGTACTCGGACAGGTATATTCTTATTTTGACCATCCCTGTGACACATGGGTCTCATTTGCCTCTTTCTCCCTTCTTTCTTAGGCAAAAAGATTAGATGTGGTATCCTATGGGTGTGCCTCTATGGAGACCCTGCCATAGGGTGTCAAACTCCATGTGTTTCCCTTGGGTGCTTTCTGATGGGAACTCATCTGGGTAAATCTTTGCATTGGCCACCACTTCAGTGTGGGATTCAGTGTGTGAAGAGGTGTGTATCATCTTGAAAGTTAACATTTTCCTTACCTGAAAATATATTTCCAATAGATACTCGCATCTTCACACATTCCCACCTTTCCTCCCCACTTCAAGTTCACTTTAGTATTCTTTTCCTCATCAAAGAATGATGATTTACAAGTGCAAAAGTAGAGAGGGAGCTAGTGTGCAAGGGTGTGTGTGTTGCCCTCCTATGGTGGAAAGCTTAGCTGCTTAATATCATTATGCAGTAGAGTAATTCACTAGAAATTTCGTGAGATTAGATGGGAGTTGCTTAAAGGCAAGTGACATGCAAATCTCTAAAGCAGATAAACAGGGAAATAGCTTAATTGTGTGAGAGTGAGTATCTATCAGAAGTATATTTTCAGGTAAAGAAAATGTTAACATTTCACTGTTGGAGGCAATAAGAACATCACTAGTTTTATTTTCACATAGGTGATAGTGATCTTCATTGCATGAAAACCTATTGTATTTCAACTTGGATTTTACATTGTTTTATAAGTTAGAATTTTATGAGATGCCAACATATACAAGACTATTAATATAATAATTTGTATCCACAAAAAAAACTGTCTTCATAAAAATAAACAAATAGAATTTGATGCTTATAAAACTTCTCTCTTCTTAGTTTACAATTAAAAATAAATTAAATATTTTATAATAAACAATGAGTCATTGTAAAATATAAAGCAGTGACAATGTTTATATACTTTTGAGTTCAAATTTGTGTGACTATAATTTGTGAATGTTATAGGGAAAATGCTCCAAAAGAACAGAAGTTTCAGTACAATATACAGTTTTTTTTTAATGTTGCTAGTAAAGAAAAACTGACAAAAGACCTGCTTACTCAGTGGTATGATGAGCGAGCTAGAGAAATAGAACAGTACAGTCAGCTAGTTGATAATGCTCTTGAGCTTGTTCGACTTGGTCTTGAACGAAATGTAAAGGTGTGTAATAATGTTTTTTTTTCTGACCTAAGAATCCTGTACAGTTGCTTGTGCAATATGTTTTTAATATAAGTAATAAAAAGACATTGTGAAGGATTTCATACCCATTTTTATATATGAAACATATTCATTAATTTTGTGCAACTTAAGTTTAATATGTATAAATTGTTTGTTTACATTAGAGTAATATCAGTATATTTATTATGTATGATTTGTTTACATCTAGGTGTTGTAATATTAATATATTTCTTATATTGAAGCGTATATAAAACTAATATAATCATCACACTTACTCAACTTTTGAAAAATGACAGTGGTAGATTTAACAGTGTAATGGCTAGTTTTATACCTAATTATTTCAGTTAAAGTATTTAAATAAAATATTTATCCATGTTAGCCTAATTTTATGTAAGTTGTAATTATTAATTACCTTTCTGAGAATCTCATTTTCAAGCTGTTTCATGTACTACAACTGATTTCTGAATATTAAGTCTTAGAAGATGATTCTTCAAAGTCGTAGTCTTTAAAAAGGTATATACAGAGCAAGGATCTCATGGAACTGTTGTAGTCTTTAAAAAAGTATGTATGGAGTTAAGCTATTATATCTCATGGAGAAGGAAAAAACAAACCAGGACACAATAATCTCAGTATTTCTTTTGTTCATATAAGCATTGATATATTATTTACTTAGAAGAGGTGTATATGATACTCAGGGATTAGAAAAACTTCTGGATGATCTGGTAACCATGGAAACCTTGGTGTACAGCTGTCACATGAACAAAAAGTTATCTTTTGAAGAACTGGAAAAGATGAACAATATGGAAAAGCTAAACCTCATGATGTCTATGGTAAAAGTTTCTTCATTGAACATTTTATAAACTCAGCTTGTATCTGTTAGACCAGTTTATTTAATACTAAGGTATGCAAGAACAAAAAATATTTTATTTCTTTCCCTACTGAGAGCTCACTTTGTAGGTGAATCAAATAATTTTGAAACTAACAAGTACAATAATCCACCCACTAATAATTCTATGAGTTATGGGAGATTTAATCATATTGTATAATAAATAACAACAAAAATACTGCTTTAAAATTTACTTCTGTTCTGTAAATGTTAAAGGAGATGATGTAAAATTTGGTTCTGAATCACACACTTTATCCCAACAAAAGTTTCTCTTCTCTGCCCATCTAAGCATTGGCAGGACTTATGCCTCACTTGCTGCAGTATTTATACCCTACAATATCACTCATAGCAATTTTAATCTTGTGACTCCTTCCACCTATGTCGATGCACCCTCTATATCAGATCTGTATATAAACTCCCAACAGCAGAAACTGCAGTGATGGTCTTACGTGATTACTGTGGGTTTTTCTTCACTGTTATTACTATGTTTTCAACATTTTTTGGGGGGGGGGGGTTCTTTTATACTTTTTCTAGTGGGTCTTCAGTTGTTGTTTATTTTCTTTATTTTACAAAAAAAAAGAAAAAATCGGAGACATTCTTTGAATATGAATACACACGTTCACGTCACAAACATGGAATTGCCTGATGCTCTTCCTCTACCACCTTATGAGTCTGGCATTACCTAGGTGTCAGGGGGAGTGGGGAGGAGCAATTTCCATGGAGGACATAGAGTTCTTCATATGCAGTGTCTCACATGCAGTCTGATATTTTTTCTCCTGTTGGCTCTGAGGATCAAGGGTGGACTGGTGGGAATTTAGATTCTATATCTTTTTAACTTTGCTCAGATAGCTAATCAAGAGCCTTGGACAGACATTCCGCTTCCTGCACCTTATTTGCAACTAGTACACCGAGTTTATAATGTTCTGAGTATTTCTTCTGTAGCTTATGAATCTTCTCTGTCTTTACTGGGGAAAATCATTTGTCTGATTACCTGGTCCTCTACCTTCACCAAATATTGCTGTGCACGTGAGGAGATTTGCTGATTATTTGAGAAAGGTTCAGCCATGCCTTATCTTCCTTGTTCATTGGATCAGCATGCCTTGACTTTTCATCACCTGGAGAACTCTTATTTGGACTCTCGGAGGTTAGATCCTTTTCTTCTTATTTGGGGCTCTAGAGAAGATGCCATGGTTTGCCTTAATTAATCTCAGTTTCAAGAATTCATGTCACCTACAACAGTTTTGCATTTTTTATCATCTTTGTAAGTGTTGTCTGAGGTTTATCACCGATTTCCTTGCCAATTTTCAGAGAATCTTAGTCATTTATTGGCTTCTACTTTGGTCAGGTTATTGGCTTCTGCTCTCTCCTTGGTATCTTTGTTGGTTTGTTGTTGGGATCTTTTGGAGAGAGATGCCTTGCTGGAGGGAGCTCACATTCCTGCTTCAGCCCTTAGAAATTCCAGAAAAGCTCATTTTCTCAAACAGTCATTTTTAGCTGGACACACAAACATCAGATTGTTTTCCTTGCTTGTCATGTTCCAGGTGTAATGAATTTAGTAGTCAACCAATTATCTTGTCCCAACAGAACTCTTCCCATGGAATGGATGCATCATCCTCAAGTTTTTTATTGGATCTGCTCATGTCTTGGAACATCTCAGATCAATGCTTTTGCCACACACTGGAATGCTCAGCTCCTGTCCTTCTGGTCTCTTGTATCTCACCCTATAGCTTTGGGCGTAGCTGCTCTCAGCCAGGATTGGATGGGTCTTCATCTTTACTCGTTACTTCCGATTCATCTGTTATCCAAGGTTTTTGCACTAATTCGCTCTGTCCTGGTTATTCGATAAAGGTTTAGTGCCTTCATCTATTGCTAAGTATAAGGCTGCTTTATCGGCTACCTTTTATTTTTTCTAACAGAAGAAAAATGTTTGAGTCCCTCGTTTTGTCATTACTTCTGAAATCTTTTCAGGTTATCCATTCTTGTTGTTCTTTCCAGGTTCTTAATTGGGATATCACAGTGGTTCTGCATGCCATGTCTTGTCTACCTTTTAAACTTTTGGGGTCATATTCACTGTATCATCTTTCACTTAAGACTTATTTTCATCTGTTATTTGCTAGCAGGCATTGAAGTTTGGATGTGTTTGAGCATCATGTTCACAGAACTCTTTACCATTCCACTTGTGTTCTATTATATTCAGACAGGTCTTTTCTACCCAAAACTTCAGCAGCTAGAAAAGAAAATAAGGCTTTCTCTCCTATTCATCTTCCCCCCATTTCATATTTATACGACCACTTGGATCCAGATCAGTTTTTATGTCCAGTTCGAGCTATCCTATGTTATGTTGTATACACTGAAGCATTTCAGGGCTCACATCACCATTTGTTTATCCAATGGGACCCTTCTGTGTCATTTATCTCATGTCACTTTGTTTGTATGGCTTATTCTAGGCTTTCATTGGAGGAACGGAGATTTCTTCGGGTTTCATCTCATCAAGATTAACATAACTTGATGTTCCTGGCAATTCTGCTGCATCGCTCACTAGAAAAACGTGTACAGGCTGGTATGTGGAACACATCTTTATATTGCACTATTTACGTTATTTAACAGTTTCCTCCTCAGATAGATTTTGACAAACCCTGTTGCTATTCTACATGCCTCGGTTGATTCTAAGAGAGGTGAGTGACTTCATTTCTTCTGTGTTATTCTATTCCTTTTCAGGGACCCTTTTCTCATTATCATTTGGATCCTACTCAATAGCGAGTGTTTCCTGGTCAGGTATGCTTTTTTTTAAATCTGCACTAGCTATCAGTAAACTAAAATTCCTTGTAGCAACAAGCTCTGTTAAGATGAGGTGTTCCATAAGACTACCTTAGCACTTTCTGAGTGGTACACAATTATTAAGTACCATACATAATATACAATACTAGACTTCCAGTCATGGACTATTATGAGTAAAGCATAAAGAGATTTTTCCCATCCCTGCTGATTGGGGTGGTTTACTTTTCAAAATAGGGAATGTGGTTCACCTACTGCACTGTCTCCATATCATCATTTCTTGGGACTCCACAATGCAAATTCTTCCCCCCATTTCTCCGGAGTGGGGCATGGGAGTTCTTACCACTCCCAGTTTCCAATTGCTGGAATGGTGGACAAAGATCTGTTCCTCCTGAGTGATGTTTGAACACATAATTCTACTTAAGGAGAAGAGAGCAAAGCTGGATACCCTCCCACCCCTAACCCTGGGTGGTTTTCCCAGATGTCTGGTGGGAGCAGGACAAGCCTATGGGGAGCCTCCTCATAATTCTCTTTCAGAGATGATACTTCACTATCCAGTTCTTTTTTGGTTATTATATTACTTTCCATGATCATGGAAGAGGGCCCTTGACTCCCTATAATTCCACATGCAAAGCGTCATATTTTTGAGCCATTGGTTGAACTTTGTGTGTTCCATATCCTCCTTGTAATTCCAGGGGCAGGGGTCTTGCCTTGCTTATCAGGTTAGGAAGTCATGAATGAAGTTCATAATCCCAGGACAGATGATCTCTGTTTTTTTTCAGGTTGAGTGAGGCGTAAGTGGCCCCATAATTAGGAGTGCAGTTTCTTGTGTTCTGTGCTTCTTCAGGTTGGGGGGAAGGTTTGTCTTCTGGATGTTGCTTGCCTTCTCTTCATAATTACTGTGGCTTGCATGCAACTTTCTGTAACTTTTGGGTTGGGTTCTTGGGCCCGTAATTCCGAGCTCGGTTTGTTGCATCTTGTGCTTCTTCAGGTTGGAGTGAGGATTTGTCCACATTTGTGTTGCTTGCCTTCTCTTCTTAATTCAGATGGTTTGATATGCAACATTCTGTAACATTTTAGGTTGGGTTCCCTTAATATCATATTAATATGATACAATTATATCACATGCTTGTAGGTCCCCATGCTGTACAAGGAACACTTTGGGTCCATAGCCCTATATTTCCAATCATGAGACATGGGACCTCGTCTGCACGGTTGGGGCCAGGATGATTTTTGTAAGCACGTACAATATCTTGCCCTCACTAACCCCTCTACCTTGTCAATGTGGGATTCTTTCTAAAGTGTGACATGAGGTAAGTGTGTTTCGGGTGATTACATTTTCCTATCCTGCTCTTCCTCCCCATGATGGCCAGTGTTCGGGTCTGATAATCTTGCTAGTTTTGATAAAGCGAATAAGAAGTGATAATGGGAGCATATGTACAGATCTGATATAGAAGGTGCATAGACGTAAGTGGAGAGAGTGTGTCACAAGATTAAAATTGCTATGGGTGATAAGAAGTAATAATGGGAGCATATGTACAGATATGGTATAGAAGGTGCATTGACATAAGTAGAAATAGTGTGACAAGATTAAAATTGCTATGGATGATATAGTGGGGTATAAAGACTGGAACAAGCGAGGTATAATTTATTCCAATGCTTAGATGGGCAGAGAATAGAAATTTTTGTCAGGATAAAGCTAAAGTATGAGAATAAGAAAGTATTATCAGAAATATATTTTCAATATAGGAAAAAATATAAACTTATGTGACTTTTCAGAATTTTGCTCAGAACAATAGGAACAAATCGTTAGTGCTCAACAACTAGGTTGTTTCTCAACAGCATTGACTCTGAATGTCTTTCCTACCTTGAAGAAAAATTGACTCTCCTTATAATAGCATCTATTATATCATCAAAAATGAGCTTTGATAATTTCTTTGATACTAAATAGTTTCTAAAATGTTTACACAGCTTTTAATATATAACGCCTGAAATTCTTGTTATCGTGTTTTTGGTAATAGTTAAGTGAGTTCTAGAAAACTGGCTGGCCAATATATTCATAAGAAATTTATATTAGTTACAAAGTGAATATTAAAATGAAATTGAGACTGACAGTATTAAAAAGATAAAATCACAGCTGAGGGAAGGAAACTTTTAAGAACTGGGTTTGAACAATAAAGACAAAGAAATATCGAGGCAGGTTAATCTCAGGATAGAGAAACTTTCAAAATTTCCACTGATTCACTTGGATTGAAAAAAAAAATGTGAGATTTGCTTTATTAACAGTAAAAATAAAAAATTTAATTCTTCCACTGATGGTTTTTGTGGGGAATTTTCTAAAAATGGAGGCCTTCAAAACCTTTCAGTGATTTAATTGGATGTAAAAATGTGAGGTAGGCTTGATCGATGATGAAAAAAATTTGAGTAAAATTTAAGATTTATATTGATAGTTTTTATTTTTTGTTTTTTTTATAAATCTTAAAAATTGAGATTTTCAAAACCTTCCATTGATTTATTTGCATGAAAAAAATGAGAAATTTTTGATTAATGATAACAAAAAATCGATAAGAAATTTAAGATTTATTTGGATGTTTTTATGTTGTTATTTTTAAATTTCTAAAATTGATGTACTTGGAATGAAATAATGTGAAAAAATATATAAATAAAAATCAACATTTACATGGATGTTTTTTTTTGAATTCATAAAAATGTTAACCAAATGAACTGACAGAAATTTAATAACATGAATGTAGTATACACATACGACATGCTAAGTAGCGAGAATTAGAAACTGTAAGTATAGTTATGAGATAGAAATGTGGTAAACCAATCTAAAGTGAATGGTAATATACTGGTGGTTAAGAAACAGATTGATGTTATTTATTCTGAGAATTTCTTTATATAGATGCAGTTTACATAGTAAGAACACCATAATTATCTGCTTATGATATCTTGTAGCTCACTCATGACTTAAAGCTAAGTTACGTCACTTGGAAATATTACACAAAAACTATAATTTTACATACAAAAAATTAACATAAGATTTAACATTACACTGTAAACACTTGTTTTACCAAAATGATCTTGCATTTGTTGTATAAGATTTGTTTTTTAAATAACTGACTTTATTTCGGCTTGGCATGGCCAGGTGGTTAGAGCGTTCGACTCGCAATCTGCGGGCTCGAATCCCCATCACATCAAACATGCTCGCCCTTTCATCTGTGGGGGGTGTTACAATGTGATAGTCAATCCCACTATTCATTGGTAAAAGAGTAGCCCAAGAGTTGGTGGTGGGTGGTGATGACTAGCTGCCTTCCCTATAGTCTTACACTGCTAAATTAGGGATGGCTAGTGCAGATAGCCCTCGTGTAGCTTTGCGTGAAATTCAAAACAAACAGAGTTTATTTCATTTATGCTTTGTCACTTTAATCAATCTGACTTTTGTGTATTCTTGCTATTAACAAAGAATAAAAAGTAAAACTGATTAAAAATTTATATAAAAGCTCAGCTTTAAAATTAAAGTTTGTTATTCAAACTTTAATGAGAAATTCATTCATAGAAACTCTGAAGAAAACCAAATATAATAAAATTAACTTTTTTTCAGGAAAATTGCAACTCATTATTTATTAGCTATAGCATTTTTTCTTTTGTTGAATTAAAATCTAGAACAGCTCTAGCTTAGTGTGTTATGTGATATCTATGTTTTAGAGTGATGAAGAAAACTTTGTCAAGAACGTAAAACAGTGGCTGCTTCCTTTTTTAAGTCGATGTGAGAAGCATCAAGCTGGCAGCCAGAAAACACTGCTGAAAGAATATTTGATTGGCTTAGCAGTGAACGACCTGAACCCCTGTGTGAAGATTTTTCAAAGTGTACGAAAGGATGTAAGAACTGTTTATCCATCTCATTTTGATAATTCATTATCATTGGGTCTCTGTTGTTAATTATGAAATCATTTTATAAGAAATGTTCACACTGATTACGGAGGTTAACAAATTAGCCATCTACTAGATTTAAAATAATTAATGTGTCCTTTCATCTGGCAACCTCCTCATTACTTAACTTAATCTGGGTTATAATTGACCTTCACTGTAATATCTGTTGTTGTTGTTCATTTTGTTTTTTTTCTAGTCTGATCCAATTATTGGAGACATTGATGAACTTATTACCTTGGCTTTGAATTGTATCTACGTTTGTGAAAGGTAATACCTACTTTTCCTGTTATAGAAACTCTTAAATTTTTCTTAGCTAGGTATATGATTAGCAGTATAAAGTTTTTTGCATAGAGAAACTGGTAGAAATTTTCAAATTTAAATATTTAATTTGTGTCTTTTTCTAATATCCAGACTGTTTGCTGTGAATAAAATAATTTACACAAGTTTTAAAGATGTCATTTATTTGAACCAGGAATGACCAACTGAACTATGCCTTTTTGATTTTGGATTGTCTACCTCAAAGGGGCTCTGGGTGAGTGAATCATGTAATCAAAAATTGTTGCAATTTTGAAGCTTAAATAAATAACTAGATATTTAGTGAAAATTTCAATGGAAAATGCAAACTTGTAGATAATCAACCAACAATGGGAGTTTCACTTTCTCTCTCTCTCTATCACTAGATTTCATATCATATTGTAGTTGTTTTGTTTGTTATTGACTATAACTTTTCAATTGAAATTGTACTTGTATATTTTTAATTTTTGCAGTAAAACATAATTTCCAGTACAGTACTTCCCTCCGTTCACAAGATTAGCTGTTCTTGTTCATTGCTACCCCCTATATGTGAACTTTTTCTTTACACTTGCCACAAGCCTTGTGCTTCCCTCTATTGGAATCAAGGGGTTCAGTGTGTCTCTCATGTAAATCATCATGCATCACCTCTCCACCAACAGAAGCATTGTACACTCACATGAGACATGTGACCCCCTCTATGCACCTCTACTGAACTAGCACCTCTCGTTTGCCTGTACTCAGACGTTTTTTTTTTTGTCATTCTTTACTGTTTCATGTTCGTATTTAGTATACTCATGAAGTAGTCTTCATTTATTATAACTTCCAGATTTTCTAGAGTTTGAAATTTACCTTCATTTATCCCAGCTTATTCCAGTTGCATTCTGATGCTAATGTTACCACTTTGGGGGTCTCGTCTATGACTAGCGCTATCTCACAGGCCGCAGGTGTGGATGATTTGGCATGGATTTTTATCTGTGTTTATCCTCCGGAAAATTGAACATTAAAAGGTTGGCCTCTTTCTTCGGTTCTCACCCACAGTTCCTCCTATAGAAGCCAGGCAGACGGAGATCTTGATAGCCTTTTTCCACCACCAGATTTCATATGTTTGTTTCTTCTTTTCCATTATGTAGTCTCCATTCCCAATACGGATATTCTGTGTTCTTTTTGTATGTTTATAATGGCTTTCATTCACGTTACTCCATGGACAGTTTCTGTCTTATTTCATCGGGAGTTTGAATGTCTAAAGTCCGCACTTTCGTGATCGCCTTGTGCTTTGTGGTCCACCATTTGCCATATAGTCTGCCAACTTTGGAAAGATAAGACGTTTTGAAATTTTATTGTTAATATCATTATCTGTAATTATTTTAATTCCGTAACATATGATTATTTAGATTAGTTAATACTAAGTTGTGTTACGATTTGTCATTAGTCTTCATAGTTCTTCTTTTGTACTGTTCAATTAGGCTTAACTAGTTTTTGTTATTTTCGATTTCACGGTAGTTCTAGTTTAGATTTCCTTCATCTTTCTGTTCACTATCTTGTTTGATTCGGCTTCGTTACTGTATTTTTTATCAGTTTGCCTGTGGTTTTATTGGCAGGATAATATCTACTTAGTTTCCAGTTTTTATTCCTCACTACATCATATAGGATGCATTCCCTACACCATTTTTTTCCCTATTTTAATATGTTGACTAATTCATTTTATTTTTCTTTAGAGTTTATCCTTTTACAGTTACTTTCATTTCATCCCTAATTTATAATTATTACAATTCATTTTATTTAGTTTATACTTTATCCTTTTTACTATTAATTTCATTTAGTTTATAACTTATTCTTCTTACCATTAATTAGTTTATTGGTTTCCTGTAGTTTTATGGACAAGTTCATATCTACCACGGTTCCAGATTTTCTTCAACTCAACATCATAAGGGATGCATATCCTACACCATTTTCACTACATTGACTATTTCATTTTGTTTTTCTTTATAGTTTATACTTTTTACTGTTTCTTTTGTTTCATCTCTACTTTATACTTCTTACAATTAATTTCGTTTTGTTTATAATTTATCCTTTGTACTAGTAATTTAAATTCATGTGTTGGTCCTTGGGAGCCGGGGTCTACCGTATCTGCTTCCACTACTGCTCACCTTCCCCATCTAATGGCTAAACCCATTTTCCAAAGTCCTAAAATTATCAGTTTTCCCTAACTTTAAAATGGAATGCCTTCCATACTTCTATTGCTGTATCTGCAAGACCTCCTTTACACATTTTCAGAAAATTATTTTTATGTTTTCTGTGTTGTTTCTTTTATCTCTTTTGAGTTTCGGTACTTACAAGCCTTCCCTTCTAAAGGCTTTCAATTTTACCTTAGTTTAACTTCAGGCAGATTTCATCTGGCATTTGTCATTCTTTTTTCCCCCTTTCATCGCTCATATCTTTAATGTTTCATATTTCCCTTTATTTGGTGTTCTGTTTACATTTTGGGTTTCTCAAGGAATATCTCCACTTCTTTCTCCTCTTTTTTGCCTAATTCCCTTCCTTTCATGTCCCATCTTTATTCTCGTCCCGATCAGGATCTACTCCTATGTATGGTCTGTGATTTTCCTCAAGTTGAGATCTTTCTTCTTCCACCCTCGCTAATTGTGTTTGGCTTTTGGTCCCATTGGCTTACTCCCCTTTATCGTCTTCTTTACGGACTTTGTTCCATGTGTCTTCTCATCAGATTCAACATCCTTACCTTTTTCTTGACATCTCATCTTCGTCAGCAATTGGAGGAACTCCTACATTCGGGCATGAGGACTACACCTAATGTCTTTGTCTCCCCTTATCTACACCATATTGCAGTTTCTTTTTTTGTTAGGTTTTTGTCTACCACCTGTGACCATTTTTCATACTTCAGTGCGACTTTAACTGGGTAAGTTTCTGTTCATTATTTCTTTCCTTTCAGGGGCTCTTGCTTCATTATTCACTATTTGGATCCCACTTCGTGACAAGCAGTGCCTGACCAGGTATCTTTCAACTGAAATCCACTGTACACCCACTTTGAATTGCACTCTCTTCCATGGCTTTGCAATGCTCACCAGTGAGATGAAGTGTTCCACAAGATTGCTTGAATAACTTTGCAATGTTTTTGCTTCATAAACATGCCCGTTCCAGATCGTGCATCACAGCAGTGGAATGTAGGATTGTTCTAGTTCTATCCTTGGCTATCTTTCGTTCTCTATTCTTAAGGGACTGTTATTGCCATTTGGAGGGTCCTGGCCTGTTTCATGGTTGGAGGAGTTGATTGCATAAGATAGACATCCTTTCGATACCAGATGTCAAGTTCCCGGATTGATGGCTCAAAGAAAATCCTTGTGTCATACCCAGGAATTGTGGTGGTTCTCAATTCCCCAGTTCTTGGGTTTAAGGTAAAGACAGTATGATCCTCATCCTATTTTTGCATGGATATTGGTACCCCATGAGGATGTTTTGGATATAATTGATGTACCGATTATGGCCTGCTGCATCCTAGCCACTCTACGTCCAGGGGCGCATCCTTGTTTACTCACTTTTCTCATTGTGGAATTGAGTTACAATATCTTTCTCTGGTTAGCATCATTTTCCTACCATATTCTCTCTCATTTTCTGCCCTGATATATTACACATGAGCAAAGAGTATACCTGGCTCAATAGGGGGGAGCAGAAGGCGTGTGGCATGCATAAATAAAAAGTTTGCATATAGGGGGCAGCAATGAACGAGAATAGCTAATCTTGTGAGTGGAGGGAAGTACCTATCAAAATGCATTTTCAGTATAGGAAAATTATAACTTTTGGTCACACATTATAGTATTACAAGTAAAAACTTTATTATGTAAACAAATATAGAAAGCAGTATTTATTTGTAAATGAATTAAGACAACCTATACTTGTATGTTTTACTGCAACTAAACCAGTGCCATAACTACAAAAGATGGATCCCCTGCATAAATAGTAATTGGACCCCCTACATTTATCTCTCTATAATTGTAGTTACAATTCTGATTAGGATTCATTGATCCCTGCCCTGAAAAGGACTTCGCCATAGTATGTTTAAAACAAAAATTAAAATTTGATACTGTAGATGACTAGTCTTATATAAATCAATACTACAATATATGTCCAGCATTTCAAACAGAAACGGACGTGCTTGGTATGCATCTCCCTGCTCGTCTCTCCTCTGTGACAGCTCCAGAACAGCTCATGCTGACTGATGTCACTACTATGTGTCTACACAAGCCATGTGTATCAACAAATGCACATGCTCATCTCTGTGTTCCAGCAGACTGTTCTTCAAGATACAACAACAAATTCACCAAGAAATTCTCCTTCCTTTGCATTCATTCTAAGTCTCCTCACAGCTTCTCCAGAAAACTTGCGACACTCCCTATCTCACTATCTAAAGTAATTTCAAAATTTTTATTTCTCATGGGAATCTTAAATTCTTAAAGTTAGGCATCATTTAATACTAAATCATGCAGTGGAATGAAGAGAAACTGAAGTTTCTGACTGCTCCTGGTTATATTTTATTCCCTGAATCTAAATTCCCACCATATACAATTCTGACTGGTTCAGACCCACTTTTGGTTTAGTACACACACCTCCTGCAATTGAGGGGGCTGTGAGGGCATACTTATGCCACTGGACTAAACTGTTTCTTTTATTTAAGAAATGAGAATACAGTGTAACGTACAGTTTTTTCAACTCATCATAACTGCTAGTAATAAATGTACTTTTGTGAAAAGTGAAAAGACCAAAAAAAATATGAATTAATTCAAATTTTATATGCACTTTTTTTCTGAAATGAATAATATGTTACTGGTTGTTTTAAACTTTTCAGGTCTCAGAGTACACTGGAAAACTTATCAAAAAGTAATTGCTAAAAACCTTGAACTCAAGCTGTTGTTTGTTTAGTTTTTTGCTTTTTTCTCAATATTATTGTGACAAGTAAATATCTCCAAGTTAGAAATTCTATTATTTTGTTTTTAAGTCACATTAATATTTTTCAGTGGCCAAAGCAAGAAGCTTGATAAGCTGCATGATAAGGTGGACCAGCTGGAGAAGCATTTAAGGTAGAAGTATAAAACTTGATTTTTAATTCTTATGTATGTAAATTTGCTAGAGTATACAGAGAGTGAGTTATAAAGAAAACTGAAAATTAAGATAACAAAAAAAACATTGATCTGCTGTACAGTTTTTAGTAGTTTTTTTGTATTAGTTCATATGAGGTAATAACATTTTTCATTCTTATAAAGACTTGACTTAATGGTTTATAGACTGACTTTATTTAATGTTGAACATCAGAGCATTTGTTTGGTTATTTGGTGAATTGTTTGTTTAATATAGTTTAGAATTAGTGGTTTTAAAGAATACCGTTTATCATTTATTACAGTACACAAAAAAGTGTAAAAGGAGAATTGTGCTGTAATGTGTTATGAATAGCTTTTTGACTGTGATTGTATTGTGATTTTAATTTTACTGCCATATTAGTGTTGCAGAGATTTTGGAAAAGAATGGAAATCCCACGACATTAGGATATATCTGCACATACCAAGACAATCCCGAAATTGTGAAACAGATGCTCGTACAGTTAACAAGGAAGGCTAGTCACAGGTGAGAAGTCTACTAGAAGTAAGAAGTTCTCTAGATTTTGTAGATCTGCTTGAGATTATTATGAACATGTGTTTTTATTACTGTACAAGGGTTCCAGCACTAACTGAATCCCAGTGGAGAGCTTTGTTATTGGAGATGTTAGACATACAGCAGCATATTTTCACCTGTATTACTGCTGAGGATTGTTATGAAGTAAGTTATTATAACTTTCTGAAGAATTATGGTAAATACAGTTTGTGCATTGTAAGATTTTGATAAATTATATGAATATTTTAAATTTTTTTATAAATTACTGTAAAGTAACATTTCTAGTTCTCTGGAAGGCAGTGGGATAGATGTAACACTTTGGAAATTAGTGTAACTTCCTTTAATTTATGATAATATGATGAAATTAGTATAAGCTTTGTAAAATTCCAACAGCTATTAAGAACATAATAACATTCTGATAAGTGCTATGAATATTGTTACATCTAATAAGTAGAAATGATAAGAATAGCATTCTGACAACCAGAACATAGTAACATTTTGAAGATTTCTATAAGATAAATGTAGCCTTTGAATAAATGCTTATTTTAAGATTAGAATCTGTTTTAACATATACATCTAATATTCTGATGAGTAATATTATAGTTTCATAATATTTTTAATGAGTACAAATAAGTAAAGTACTGTTACATACTTCAAAGCTATTGAAACATTTTAGCAAAAGACATTAAATATTAACTATTCATTTTCATATTTTAGAAAAAACTTAAAGCATTGAAGTTATTATATCTTTTTATGAAAGGAAAATTATCAAGTGTTAATGTTTCTTAACATTCAAGGGCAAGTCATGAAATATTAGAGGTATTGTTTCATTCTCTGCTAACCTATATATACTTCTAACACTTTTAACATTCTAGGATAAAACATAAAGTATTAAAGCTGTTGTAACAGTTTAGGACTTTTTTGCAACATAGTATCAATGTTGTATGTGCATATCCATTTTTATCTTTCTTAAATTGTGTATGAATTCTCCATAAGAGATCAAGAGCATGCAATATTAATACTCAATATTATTACTAATTATTTATTCTTCATATATTCATATAAAATCTTTATTCTTTTGAGTTTGTGACTAAAGTTTTGAATTCTCTATTAGATTTTCACAGAGTCCTTGTTGTGTTCAGGCAGTAAAGAGAGCATATCCCTAGCTGGACAGATGTTGGAGTGTAGCCACAGCGTTGTTAGGGGGAAATCCCCTTTGATTCTCTCTTCTCAGACAGGTGGTCCATTCTATTCCAACAAGGTTCCATACCACAAAGCTGTAAAACTTGTATTGGTAGCTGCTCAAGAATATTTTAACTCCTCTGCTACCCTCTCGGACCCTTGCATGGCTCTTGCCAAGTAGGTTTTTCCTAGCATAAGACATAATGAAACATGATTTATTGAACAACTGAAAGAATAGTAAATCTAGCCCTTTCTTTTGCTTGAAGTCTTTGATGATTGTTTTTGTCCATTCCACTTATAAATCTGTACTAAAACCTAATGGATATAATATTATTTCTCTGATTAAGATGCAAATCCCTAATGCCTCAGTGGTAACTCAGTGAGTTTATAATGCTAAAAACCAGGTTTCGATACGTGTGATTGGCACAGCACAGATAACTCATTGTGTAGCTTTGTGCTTGATGATTAAAAAAAAATTAAGATGCAAATCTGAAATTGGTTTTTTCAAAAATATTCAACTAGAATCTTCAGCATTTATAGAACTTACTATTGAACACATTCATTGAGTAATATTGTATGCTTTTAGTGGTTCCTGATTTTCATCAATCTAATGTGATGTTGCTCACTTATTTTTTTAACAAATTTTTAAATAAAAATTTTAAATAAATATTATGTATTTCTTAACAGATTCTATTTTTCATTACTAGAACATTCACTCAGAGTTCAGAATAATTCTACCAAAACCATACTTCACTTTAACCCTATCACAACCAGGGAGTATGTTTCAAATGTTGAGTGCACACCTGTATATCAATTTCTTAAATAAAAATAATAATTATAACTCTATGTCAACAATTTTTAACTCTAAAATATTTTCAAATTGACATTTTGTCATTTCGTAACATTTGTTTAGTTTCATTTGCTATGAAAAATAAATAGAAAGCTCAAAATTTCTGCACAGGTGTGTTCTGTCTCACCTGTAAATAACACTTTCAGAATTTTTCTATAATTTAAAAAGTAGGTTTATATTTGCTAAAAGACTATCATCCTTTGATAACACAATCATTCATGTTTTGTTTCTCATGTGGTTTTCATTTTTGTTAGTGGTTTTATACTACAGCACTTTGTTCCTAAGCATTTATGATGTCATATATGAATATACTAATGAAGCTAAAGTCAACATTTAAACATTATTGGATAGAGTAGATTATACACTGTTTATGTCGATGCAAAGTAGATAAAGTTTCTATAGTATTTTATGTTACCTCATGATACTGACTAGCTAAAACTCCTATAGGACTGAACAAAGAAATCTAATGGAAAGTGTAAAAGCCATAGGAACAAAACAAAAATCTGAAAATTTTTTTATAGTTTATTTAAATGCTGTTAAATTGTTTCTGTTTCAAAGCTACAGAAATTTTCTTCTTTCACAAGCATCAGGTAAGCCTTATTAGGTTTACCAGTTTCAGTAGGTGATGGCAGAATATTCCAATGACTCAAATCCTTATTTAAGTAATTTGGTTAAGTACTTCCACTGTGAGAATGGAATAAAAAAATCAGTGGACAGCAGTAATACCCCTCCTATCCAGAAATGTTTAAATGTAGACTGCTCCTTCAAAACAAAACTTACCAAACATGAAATATGCAGCTATATACATAAAAACAAACAATTAGACTCTAGGGAAAATATTGCAGTTGTTGCATCTAATGTAGAATAGAATAGCATGAGAATCCTCTACACCAGCAAAGCGTAAGAACAAAAAATTCAAAATGTCATTAACATATTCAGCTATCTCTATTAGGTCCAAAGAATTGAGATAAGCTACATTACAGGTATTGAGAAATAAAAAAAATCATATTTATAACATAGAACTTGATTAAAGAACAAATTTTAGTCAATTGCTATAATGAACAACTTGCAACATTTTATAATTCAGTACTAAAATCTGAACAATACCACAACAAGTGCTAACAGATTTTTCTCACAAGTACATCATTTAATTCTGTCAACACGGGCTTGGTCAATTGGACTGACTACGTGACTTCTTTGTACTCAATTAAAGTCTATACATTTAATACTTCTAACTTTAAATATAGAATGTATATCTTCACAAAATTTAGTAGTCTTTCAGCTCATATTATTATAAGTCTTTCACATACAAGAAATCACGTTTTTTGAGAAGTATTTTTAATAAAATATAATAAAGATATGTCCATTAATATATTGAGTATTTATTTTGAATAGTCCGTGTGAAAAGTAATTTTCATGTTAAAACTAAAAATAGTTTTTCTCATCTCAAAAATCTCAAATTTCCTTTGTGTAATCCCTAAAACCTTTATAGTTTATCTTTTGTCTTCCTAAAATGACTTCAAATTGTAACATGAAACTACATTCATTTATTCCAAGTAGCTCTAAGTTCTTAACAGTATACATCTATTTATAATTAAATTTTATTGTTTCATTGCCCTTTGAACTGTGTCTAACTACAGTCCATGCCATTATAAGTTCTAAAACACTCGGACAATGCACAGCTCGCGTTACGCTATCGAATTACATTACCCATGAGCTGCTTGCATGCATGCCTCGTGAACCATTTTAATTATATTATTAGTATTACATATTTTATGTAATCTAGTCTTAAATAACTTAAAATGATCCGTATTTTTAGATTTTAGTTACCTTTATATTAATAAATAAAGAATAAATATGAAAAACAAGAAATAAAGTACTTACCCAATTCTCTCTTTTTCTTACTGTCCGGTTTCAAAGAGAGTTAATCCTAATATTTTATGCTATAGATAGTAATGCACTTATATATTTAGTTAAATAATGCACCAAAGAATATTGATTAATAACATGCAAAAAGTAGACAACTTCACTTACCTCTAAAAATTTTGCTGGCTTTCTAACTATCAACAAGAGCCGTTACAAATTCATCCAAGCTAGTTGTTATCTTTCTCACCGGAATGAATCATGTACTGTGAGTGAAATTGACGGTATTCTGTTCAGAATACAACAGTATACAATAAGTCATTTGATAGATGAAAACCTTGACTTTCTATTGGTTATTGGTAATATATAATGAAATGTAAGAGAGAACTATCAATGAATTGTGAAAGAGAGGATGTGGCAAGAGGGGTCTGATTTTCTATTCGATAGCTCATTAACCAAACAAAACTGAAGGCTATAAAAATTATGGTTTGTTTGAGCAATAACGATTTTATAGATTTACTTTTAATTTCATACATTTTTGAGGGGGGTGAATAAAATAGGGATGATGACATGGTAAGACAAAATGTGTCACGTGGGTCACACTAGTGGATATTCAGGATTCTTTAAAATATTGCCTTGTAGAATTAAAAACTTAAAATTTGTATAATATTAAAATATGTATTATTAGCTAAGATTTTATGCTATTCTAATTTGTATAACATAATCAAAAAGTAGTTTAATAAAATTTTGAATGTAAGACACTAAAACCTTGTGTCATGCACAGTAAAGGGTACCATGGGAGATAGGGTTAATCCATTTACTGTGACTGGTACATCTATGGCTTCTAAATGTTGTTGTTTTTTTCTATTAACTGTATGATCTCATCAAAGTTTGTGCTATTTAGCAAATCCATAAAATACTCTGAATTTTCCCAGCTTTGGTGGCACTTGCTGTGACAGCAAGATATTATCATACAGGGAAACTGATGCATAAAAGGCAGAAATAATCGGTTTACTGTATGGCAATATATAGCAGAATACTGGTGGACAACATTAGCACAAAAATTTATGATCCAACACCTTGTGCTGGAATTTTAAAAGAATCCATGTGTGTACCAGCTGCAGTGAATGGATGAAACAAGGTACTAAAAAGGATTTAACCCTTTGACTACCATGTCCTACAATCCATATGATCTAACGTCATTATCGTTATATTTATTTCCAAAAATGAAAGTAGTCGATGAAATTGTTTAAAATTTGAGAAGAACCTTTCTAAATGTATGTAGTTTTAGAAAAATATTTAATTTTGATTTTTTCTACAATTTGTAATAAAAAATTCATTATTTAATGTAATTATTTTCACTCTGAATAGTTCACCTGCAAGGCGAATTTATTTTAAGTATAAAAATACTACTTATTATATAACAATTTTCACATTTCATGTGCGTTATCTTTAGAACTTTCTAAATGAATATCAAGAGTTTTGTAAGGTAAATGTTTATATTTTATTTTCCAATTTCTCTACTATATCACTAACTCTAGCTATTATCATCGACATACAGTTTAGTTTGTTTCAGAGGTTTCTTTTGAAATAAAGGAATAATAACTTGGATAATATAAAACTTTCAACTATAACATATCTGATAATGTCAAGTTGATTAAACTACATTGATCGTAAAGTGCTTTAATTAAATTTTGAATGTAACTTAGTAACACTTTGTGATATATGCAGAAAGGAATTTAAAGAGTGTGCTGGTAGTCATAGGGCTAAAAAAAATCAAGTCAGGTTTACATAAATATTACCACCAATATAAAGACAGATCCACCAATGTTAAAATTTAATGTTAAGTTAGTACACAAACTGCTACAAAATAAATGGTTATTTCAAGTTTTTCAAACTGTCAGTGCAGTAGCAAAAGCATATTCCAGTAAAAGTGTAACTTCAATTACCATGTGGTAAGTTAAAAAGGACTCAAAACTTCATAAGTGTTGCATATACATCAACTTTATAAGAGGCCTAACTGTATTTCTGTGGTTTGCTGACTCAAACTGTACTGATGGACTTAGAATAAGTTGAAATTACAGTCCATAGCAGAGGGTGCAGCAGATCAAAGAATGCATTAGGCCTCTACTTCATGATTATACTTTCAAGTTTACCTTTAGTGACAAAAAATAAATGTAATGTACTCATTGAACCTAGAATCTGTTTATTGGTGTCATCTGCATATAAACTGTTATCTCTCATTTGTCACTTATTTTATTATTATTGTTTACTACATTAACTGAAAACAAATGTATTTATGGTGTTTCAATATTAAAAGTAAATTGAAAATAAAGTTAACTGATAGCTATGGCTGCTTGACTTGATTTTTAAATAACTCAATCATATAGGGCCAGCCTCCAGCTTCTTCAGGATGTTCCTCCAAGTATAGAAGATGAACTGGACCTTATCAGTTCATTGTCACTTTTGGATGAGTTTTCTGTTAATATTTTACCATTACAAGGTGAGATGTGTTTCATTATTATGGAAAAAGATACATTTTTCAATATTTTTCATCACTGTGTTTTGTTTCATTGTACCAATGATGGACACATTAGCTAGACCGTTAGTGTAACTGAACCTGGCAGCTTCACAATTTCAGGGTTAATTAATCAATAAGCTTTGCCATATAGAAGGTAATTAATACATCCATTTCATTATCTTTGAACAATTTTTCACTGTTACAATCATCACTGTTAGAAAATTAGGATTATTTCATCAAACAACTAGGTTTACTGTTTCAGGATTAAGGTTTGATCATAGAATCAGTCAACATATTTCAAACAATTTTTTAATAATTTTAAATTTGTGTCTTGTCATTATAATTTATGTTAAATATATGATGTGCAGTGTAATTAACATCTGCATAGCAAGTTCTTCCTTTGCTTTTAATAAACAACATCAACATTGAAAAGCATGCATAAACCACACTTTAGATGAAAGATGTTAAAAGCTATATTATATGAGTAATTCTGCTGAGTTGTGTGGTTTGTGTACTATTATGAACGTTCATTTTGGATTGTACAGAACAGAGAGTCAAATCTTAAAACAAATTATACATGATTAATTGAAGTTAAATATTTAAATTTCAAAATAGAAAACAGTTACTTCTGGTATTTTTATTACACATTGTATATGGTAACATTATTTGTTGTAAGCTGAAAGACTGCATAGGTTACACAAAAGGTGTGTATAGTGTAATGAAGGAGAACATTTCAGAACAGGAACCATGCATGTAGCTATTTAAATAATTTGGTAAATAATCTCTCTTATTTTGTCATTACAAATGCATTATCAATTTCCAAACTACTTGTTTTTTCTAATGTAGTTCGACAGTGTCAAAATAGACTAGAACTGGTGAAGAAAGCTCTTTTATCTAAACCTGGAGCTTATAAGCAACCACAGAAGGTATGTTTTTTGGATACAAGCATGTATAAGTATGTTTGATATATATATATAAATATATAGACTAGCAGCCAGGGGTGTGTCTTGAGGATGAACCCCAACCATAAGTATAATGAGACAGAACCTATATATGTCACGTTTAGGAACTTCGCAGTTGTGGTCATATCAAATAGGTTTGTCATTTGTTAATTATCTCTTTTTTTTTTCCTTGGTAACAGTACACAATTAGTTAGCATTATCATTTATCAAAAACTAATCGCATCTTTAACAATTATAAAGATAAAAACACAAACTTAGTGTCAAAAGGTAGCATTTTAATTACTCCTTAAGGCAGATACAGAATTTCCAGGAAATTTCTATGTCATTCTGTGCTTACAGTACACAATTTGTCAAAATTGGAACAAGGTGCAATATAATTTATTTTAGTGTGAAATATTAAGTATCAAACTGATATTTACAATGTGTGCTTTGGCTTGTTTTGAGTTGTGCAGCATGTATAATAAAGGTAAGACAAGCTTTTACTAAAGCTTGTAAACTATTTTATAATTAATTGTATAATTAATGATCTTTAACATGAAAGTCATTCCCAAAGGTCCATATTATAGTATGGGCAAATTATTTAGCTTAGTTTTACACCTTCTTTGTAATTTTACCTTGAATACAAAAAAGAGTAATTGGCCATTTTGTTGAACCTAATCATTCTGATATTTACTGTATGGTTACCATAAAAATGACCTAATTGCTATGTGGTAAGCCTATTTAAGTTGACCACAACTGACCATTTCATAAAGGTGACATATGCCCAAACACAAAAATACAGGTGATGTTTTGTTATACCATAGGTTGGGGTTCTCACCACTTTAAGCCCCATTTGCCAATTATGAAATAGTGTTTTGCTTTGTTGAAACATTAAACATGCTAAACTATCATTCTGTCTTTAATTTATAAAATATTTGTATGCTGCATATGCTAGCTATTATTTTACTTTGTCTTGTTTGTAAAGGTGACATATGCCCAAACACAAAAATACAGGTGATGTTTTGTTATTCCATAGGTTGGGGGTTCTCACCACTTTAAGCCCCATTTGCCAATTATGAAATAGTGTTTTGCTTTGTTGAAACATTAAACATGCTAAACTATCATTCTGTCTTTAATTTATAAAATATTTGTATGCTGCATATGCTAGCTATTATTTTACTTTGTCTTGTTTGTAAAACAGTTTTAATAGGTTCTTCATATTCTGTAGCTCTATCTCAAATCCATTAATTTAAACATTTAATAAAACCTCGTTTGAACAAAATACTATGTGTCAAAAGAATAAATATATATAAAACTATAGAGAATAAATATTAGTAACATTGATTAGAAAAACAACTAAAAAGTTCGAATCTGCATAAAAAGAAAATATTGGAAATCAGTGTCTTTTAGGAAACCACTTTTTGAGATCAGTATTAGTAACTCAAATTCACAAAAGCATCTGTAATCTCTTAGTCTACATGTGGTGTATAAACATGAGAGAGGTATCAGCCTGTGTGTGAAAGAAAAGACCTATAATGCCAGCAGCTACTATGATGTGAAGTAATGGAGTGAATTGTGGTTTATGGAATAGCCAAGCTATAACTGTTGTTGCAACTTTTGCTTTGTACTTGACTCTTATCTATCTTCTACATCTTTTGAAAGCATTTCCAGAATTATATTTTTGGATACAACCTTTTTTTTTATTTATTTTGAGAACTTAAAATTATTATGAAATTTATTATTCTTTGTAGTATGATTAACCCCAAAAAACAGCTTTTATAGTTTAATACATTTTTTAGCAGTATTCAATTGAACTTAAAGAAAAGTTTTAAGTTCAGTTCATATAATTGAGTTTGAAGTCAAGAGTAATTTATAGATATAAGAGAAACTTTGTTCATACACAAACTGAGGCTTAAATTAAACAGGTTAACTCCATATACTTAGTACAGTGTACATGCTGTGCTTAAATTTTAGCTTATTCTAATCTTAGTGGTTTTTTATTTTTTCTTTGAGTATTAAAGCTACCACATCAACCTTTACATTTTAGCTTATGCAGTAAATAGATTTTTTAACATTTGCTTTTGGCAATGGTTTAGTTGACATTTGCATTTTAGGTTCTGTAATAGATGTAATATTTAGTATTTGTTTTTCAAAGTATTTAATGTGATATGTTGTTTTCTCTAGGTGTTAAAGCTGGTGCATAGGTGTTTGTATTTTCGTTTTTTAAATAAATGAATTACTTATTCATTTCATCTAGGTATTAAAGTTGGCACACCTACTACGAGTATGTGGAAATAACAAAAAAGAGTGTGAAGGAAAGACCTTGTCTCTTGTAGCTGAATCTGCTTTTCAAGTAAGCTTGGTGTTATTTACCCGTTGTCAGAATAGTTCAACATAAATTAATATTTTAGCATAGCAGAAATACCATACTGTACATGCACAGAAAGTTTTGCTTAAACTTGCATCTGTTGAGTTAATCTGAGTATTATGCTACAATAATTATCTATAACATCCAAGTGGAACATTTGAAAGGAAAATATTGAGTGTATAGTGTGATAGAAACTTAAAATAACAGATTTATTCTGCTAAGGAGTTTGACAAAAGTAAATCATTTTAATTTTGCTGGTTATCATGTAGGTAACTTGTAATTAAGTGACATCTTATCACTGTTTGATACCACATCTTTTTGTTCAAAATCCCCAAGAAAAAGAAAGATCTTCCATAAGCTGTCTCACTACTTAACACACACTCACACTCTAAGACTACAGTAACGTATTACTCACTACCTGTAGACATGCTTAGTTTAGAACATAAATATAAGCAATTATTATCCTAAACTAAATATTCATTATCTCTATTGTAAATACTGCTTGGTGTTTTCATGGTTGAGATTAAACATTTGTGAACAATGTTTCTTGGCACTCAAAGAATTAGTGGCTCCTTATGTCATTTCTTGATACTGATCTGGATCTAGATAGAAACTGTATGGAATATTATGTAAATCTAGGGGATGTATGACACAATGCAGTGTTCATCCCATATTGAATAGTTCACTACGGGCTCACTCCCATAGACTGACCTTATAACCATTATGTTCTTGTTATAGCTTTCATGCTATAACTTTTAATGCAGTGAGCATATCTTCATGAAATTTTGCAGATTATCAGTAAACATTACAGGACTTTCATATGCAAAATATCAGATTTTTTTAATTAAGTTTTACAAATTTAATAGTAATGTTTTCTTTTATATTTTTTTTTCTTCTTGAATGTTGACTCTCCAAAATGGAAAGTAATTTTGATTTTAAGATTAATGCATCAGAAAATTTTCAAATTTCACACGTGAAATCTTTATATCCTTCAGATAATTATCCAAAAAATTTGTTTGAAAATACTTTGTATTTTATATGTTATTTTCACTTGTGTATCTCTGTATGGGTTTGGTTAATTTGACCGACCTCGTAACCACCATAAAAATGAGGAAATAGATATAAATTATGCTTAAAATAAAAAAAAATAATAAATTTCTGTATCAACACCATAGAATTCCACAATATTTTATCAAGCTTAGTAACTAAGGTGTATTTGGGTCTAAAAATATATGATTTTTTGAGCTCACTAATGTCTTACCTTATCACTTGGAACCTAGCATGAAAAAAAAACGTTTCCCACATAAATACTTTGCAGAGACTGAGAAAACCACTAGGGAGACATTCTGAATTTTCAGTTGGTTATACGTATGCAAAGTAGGTGTATGTAAGCAAGTATTTTCAAAAATGCAAAAGGTGGGCAGGGACAACTTAATGGAATCAATAAAAATATATTAATATCTCAGAAAATAAAAAAGATAGGAGGTTCTTGTATTCTAGCTTGTCAGTATTGGTAATTTGAGTATCTAATTCACAAGAAACTATAGACTTTTGTATTTGGACATCACAAACATCTAATTTGAACCAATGCTGCATTCAACATACCACGTGATACATAAAAATCGATATTTAGTTTTTTTTTAATATTTACTTTTAAATTTAGAAATTAACTAATATATAATACTAAAATTTGAATTATAATCTACAATTTGATACCAAACTTATTGAATAAAATAGTATAAAAGTATATAAATTGTATAAAATAGTAGTTCAATAACATTTTTAATGTGAGTCTACAAATGTGATGACATGGTCTTTGGCCCGTGATCATAAGAAGACGCGTGTTGGAAGGGTTAACTGTAGACTTGCTGATGTAGACCCTATCGACTTTTTAAACACATTTTTTAAAATTGTTTATACACCAAACTCCATGAAATTATAATAATATATCAATCTAAAAAAAAATGAACAAAAATACTATTATTATGGTAGTTAGTCTCACTAATTATATACTTTTCATAGAAAATTCATTATTTCACCTGATGTTATTTTACACTGAGTGCTGGTAAAAACATAAAATTACTCAATATGACACAATATATAAGGGCCCCAAAAGTAGTAGGTAATACATAAAAAGTTGGTGATATAAGGATTAATAAAAGAGGACTACCAGAGTGCCAAACAGTAACTCTGTTGTAAATACCATGGATCTGTTCAGTGGCTAGAATGAAATATGTTGTGTTCCACAATAAATGGAATGTATACTATCTGTGTCCAGTAGTGGCTTCAATGGAGTTTGTGCACAGTGTGTGAGTTGTATTGGAATATTAATTATATCCTCGGTAACCAAGATGCAATTTTCATGTGTGAGTTACATATGTACAGATAAATTACCAGTAGCATCTCACAAGATCTGGAATAGAATACTATAAGTGTACCATAGTATCGAAACAAGATAAAATACTTTTTATGTTTTGCACTAACGGAGATGAATTATCTTTTGTGTTCGATATTAATGAAGGTGAAATATCATATATGTCTCACAGTAAATGGAATGGAAAATTAGAAGTGCTAGCAGTAATTGAGATAAATTCTCATTTGCATTCTATAGTAAATGGGGCTGATTATTGTGTTTGTCAAATATTAAGTGGGTAAAATACCAGTTGGGGTCACATTACCTGAAATAAAATACCATGTCTGTATGACATAATTCTGAAACAGGTTAAATATTATTGAGGACATATACTAAATCCAGGTGTTACTTTCTGTAGATTATGAACTGTCATATGAAACAGAAATATTTCCACATTCTGGTGCATGTTTTCAGACTGGTCAACTTCAACATGATTTTTATTGAGAATGCAGATATAGTACTTTGACAAGAGATTGATTCTGATCTTTAAATAGTGTAGATTGGTTTTCAATGCAAGTCAATAAACGAGATGACATGGCCTTTCACCTGTGACCTGTCTCGAAAGGGTTAATATATATTTGATTTTAGATATAATTTGTTTTTATTACTAGGCTGCAGACTATGAAGCATGTTATGGTGCATGTCGCAGACTGTTAGATGGTTGCCATAGTGAAGGTTGGAAAGTCTGTCAACTCCTAGGACAATGTCAAGAGTTCAAAAATTTGTCAGCAAGGTAGGGTTGGGTTTTTGTAAGATTGAAATGTCGTACAAGAAGGTAGCACTATATACAATATTTTTTTCATTGTTAAAATGATCATGATGTAATAAAAATACTAATTTCAATTGTTGTTTTTTTAAATAATGTACAACTGCTCATAGTGTTTAATTAACATCTGATCCTTAGACTTGTGTTTTGAGTCTTCACCTAACTCAGTAGGTTTTTTCTTCATACTAAACTTCAGATTATTTTTACATGGTAATATCAGACATTTTTACACAGAAGATATAGAAGTTTGTATTATATGTTCAGGATAGTTTCTGTTGGATTCCAGGCTTAAATTAATTGTAATGAATATTATCAACTGATCTTTTTTCCACATTTATAAAACAAATTGTGTTCACTTTTGCAATCAAATAAGAAAAAAAAAACAATTTATTAGTAATGCATAATAAGTATGTCATCATTGTGTAACATCTAATCAATGTATAGTCTGAGGTTTAAATTGCACTTTATAGAAATTATGTTTGAAGTCCCATTGCAACTACTTCTTCCACCCAAATTTGAGTCAGGTTTCTGTATTCTTGGTGGGCACAGCACAAATAACTCATTGTTAACTTTGTGCTTAACAACAAACCAGGGCTTACCATGGCCTACTGGACTGTAGATCTGAGGTTTCATGGTTCCATTACCACAAAAAAAAAAAAGTTTATGCTCCATACTTTGGGGCCATGGGTGCATTTTAAGAGTGATGATCATAGCCCTCAAGCATACTTGCACAAAATTCTATAGAGAACAACAATAAAAGTACTTCCTTCACTATCAAGCGTATGCATTCTTATGGCCATGATTACACACTGCTGCTTCACACTCACAATGCAGTTTCTAATGGAACAAGCTCCTGGAAAGGAAGACAAGGTTGGTCTTAGACTACACATTTTAGCAGACTTTCAACAGACTTACCACTCTACAAAATGCTTGAAGAAGATCTTTGCATTGCAGCTGCATTGATGGTCCTGACAGGAATGATGGAAGCTTGTGAGCCTTCTTCAACTGCCAGTTTGTATTCATTGTCTTGTTAATAGTGCCAAGAGATATGCCAGCTTGAATAAAATCCATTTTGGATCAAACATTTTCTTTAGCCATAGCTTTCACTTTGTTAATTAGGGTGTTTTTTGGCCACCTTTCACATGATGACAGCCATTGAATTTAAGATATGGGTGGAAGTTTGTGATACTTTACCACCTGCACAATCAAATGGTCAAAATTCAACTTGAGCTTAATATGTAAAACATTTAGGTGCTAAAATTGTTGTTTGTGGGTACACATACTACTGTATTAGCAAATAAAAGTTACTGTTACAAAATATGATTAATTCTATTTTTATAGACTAGAGCTAAAGGCAAAAGAAAGCTGTCTTTGCTAACCTTTATCTGATTTTACTTTGGAAGCAATATTTGGTTGGTTTGCTCCACTGCACAAGTAAAATTTTGTTGAAGAATGAAAAATAAATCTTTTTTGGAACTGGCAGTTTTATGATTTGTTCATTGTTTATATCTAGTTGTTAGGAAAAGCATAAACTTCCCTATATGATACTAATGTTATTGAAAAGTAGAAGGGTTCTGTTTAAAACTTTTGTATTATTTATAGTTAACCCCAGTTTTCTTTTAGACTAGCACTGCTGACTTTTGCAATAAGTTACTGTGCTTCAGATCTACTTGAAGATCTGTTGAGAAATAAAGCTGAAGTTCAGCTTGAGGTAAGGGTTTTAATTTTAATATTTATTAGTCTTCTTATAACCTGTTAATTACAATAATGTGTTTGTTTACCAAGGTATTTTTACAAAAATTACTCTGAACATCTATTAAGTATACAAAAATGTTGTTATTCTAATAAAAATTATAATGCCTGTTTTACACTCTCAATAATAATTAATGTTCATCTTAAATCCCACACTGTAGTTGTTTCATTTGCTATTTTAGGTAACAAAAAGTAAACAATTGGAAAATAAAATATAATTTTATTTTTTTATTTGTAACGTGATTCTCTGAACAAGTTTTTTAGTATTTTTGTCAGGTTTTCTGAATTGTTTTCAGATTTTCAGACTGTTTTGCTTCTGCTTTTTTCTTATAGTAATGAGCTCATTGAATGTAGACAACTCACTTTTGTGCTTGTGTCTTTGTTTTGTTTTCAGTCGGTGTTTTTATATTATCTAGTTATTATCTAGTTTTATATTATTAGCCAATACCAAACATTGTTTATCTAACCATTAGCCAATACCAAACATTGTTACTATTTTATAAGAAAGATTATTCATCTAACCATTAGCCAATACCAAACATTGTTCATCTAACTATTAGCCAATACCAAACATTGTTCATCTAACTATTAGCCAATACCAAACATTGTTTGTCTATCCATTAGTCAATACTAAACACTGTTCATCTAACAATTAGCCAATACCAAACATTGTTCATCTAACTATTAGCCAATACCAAACATTGTTTGTCTATCCATTAGTCAATACTAAACACTGTTCATCTAACAATTAGCCAATACCAAACATTATTTTTTCAGTAGTAACAAGCTATAAAGTGTTTTGAATAACTATGTACAATTTTGGTTAATAAAGTTTTCAGGTGAGACTTATCCCATGGTGTTGTTTCTATTCCTAAATATGTTAGTTAAGCTTGTGTCCTAAAGTGTTTTACATACTCTTTTGATTTACACAGCTGTGATCTTTTTTATTCTGTGATGCTATTCATACCCTACCTATTTAAAAAAAAAAAAATCTAATAGTACATTGGTACCCAGAATAGATTCTGTTTATACCCAAGAGTTCTGCTGCTTAGCCAGATTGATGCCAGCAGCATCAGTGATTATTGTATACCTTCAGGGTCTGTGGGGGCTCGGCTCCAAGACTTTCTGGACGTGGGGTAACCTTAACCATGGATCCAGGAGCACTGCAGGTTCTTGAGGATTAGTAATTCAATTCACATTTTCACCACTATTATCCACCTGAAGTGTAGGGTTTCTGTTTCTCCCCCAAATCATTGGGAGTTGGAACTTAGTTCTAGGGCTATCAGAGTTTGGTTGTTCTGGGGGTAGTGAGAGAGTTGTGTTAGTTTTTCAGAGGTTTTATTTCTGTGGGTTGTGGGCCTAAAAAGACAGGAGATTGGTGTTGAGTTATTGATCTTTCTTGTCTATATCAGTGCCTAGATTTTCCAAGGTTCATAAGTTACACATTCCTCAATCTGAGTTGACATTTTTTACTGGGATTGTAGATGTCCAAGTTTATTGTAGTTGCCTCCTATCTGCATATTGCCATAGTGGTGGAGTCCCACCAATATCAGCATTTGTTGTGCACAAGAGTTAGGTACTGCAGTTCCGGGGTTTTACCTTCAGACTCGCATCAGCTTCATATGGGTTCTGCTGTATCGTATACGTTTTTATTCTCATCACCTCCATTCCATCTCACTGTGCACACAGCATTACATGGATGACTGGTTACTGCAGAGACCATCTCGTCAATTGTTAGACCATCACATCCTGATTCTACTTTGAGAAACAACCCAGGCAGGCTTCATTTTCAGGGCTGAGACTTCTTTTCTTGCTTCAATTCAATGTGTCATCAGTCTGAGTATTTTTTATTTTTCATCTCATCTTTCAGTTGGGCTCAACTGTTTTCCATCTGGCTCAACACTATTGAATAGGTTGCCCGACTCTTACTCACTTCTCCTTCTCGATGCATGGATGATTCTTTCTCTTCTGGGAATGAGGGCATCATTCTCATGTCTTTGGGATGAGAGCACAGGAGATCCTTTTAATGGTCTTTATATGACCAAGAAATTATAAACATTGAATCACTGGATTCCCCAGTTTCTTTACTCGAGATCATCCTTCCATTTCTAGGGGTTTTTAAGTCAGAGCACTACTATGATATGGGTTCCTCCACTGCCACCACATCCAGAGTTCCATCTCTTCATGAATACTTTGTTTCAGGGATGGAGTGCATATATGAATGGTCGGGAATTCCAGAGTCTATGCACGAACGAAGAGGCTTCCGTACACAATGTTTTAGTCCTTCTTGCTCTTCAACAGGCAATGCCTCAAGGTCTGGGTTTATAAAGGGGAAAATTGTCAGGCTTCCCTCTGACCATTCTGTGGTGGTGTCTTGGTTCCCTTGGTCCATGGCTCCTTGTTTTCAAGTTTTGGACCTACTTTCTCACTATATCTTATGTTACCCAGAGTAATAAATATGATTTGTTCCAAACAATTGCCGGGTCCTGTTGATAGCACCAGATTGACTGCTACACCCTGGTTTCTGCTTCTGTGTTATCTTCTAGAGTGTCCACCTCTGCCACTTCTTCTTACGATAACTCTGTGGAGGCAGCCATGGCCTTAAATGGTACACCTGGCTATCCAAAAGCTCAAGCTGCAGGCATAGAAGTTCTGCAGTCTTTCACATGGCATCAGGGTTTAATTTCTAGGTTTGTCATGTATCTGTCTCAGTTTTTGCTTAGTACCAATATGGACACGAATATCGGCAGTGGTGTATTGAGATGAGGTTGAACCCATTTCGATCCTAAGTGTAACCATAACTCGTTTATTGACCTGCTTTTTTGGCAGAGATTTTGCATCTCCCTGTTTGAGGCAGCCTTATTGACTACCGTTCGATTTTCGTGACTACACATTCTTTGTGTCCCCAGTTCTCTCCGGATTCCCCAAGTTGCTTTGTGTCCTTGGTCCCAAATGACTATTCCAGTTATCTAACAGGTATTTTAAGGTTACATTACATGTTCTTTTTAAACACCTATTTGTGACCTTATTATTGATTCATCTGATCACTATTTCTCACTTCTATGTCCGATCAGATCTCAGTCATGTTCAGTGAGGGCCTTGAAGGTTTTATTGTCTGCACTAATGCCTTTAGAGATGCTAGACAATGAATTTTTATACTGGACTCTCTTTTGAAGGTGAGGAATCTTCTGCAAGTCACGTTCTAATCAGATTTGTCACATTTTTACGTCCTTATCACCCCATTTGAATTGCCTGCTGGAAGTCATTGTGGACCTCCACAATACTTTTATCTCTCATTATTAGCATGATTTGGCAGCCTCTTCACCTGAGGATTTTCACCTACTCCCTGTAGCTATCTTAACCATTTCTGCTAGATTATATAGAGATTATGCTAGATTATTTTCACTACTACCTTTCAGGGTCCCTTACCTCATTTTCACAGGATCTCACTCTGTGGAAAGTGTTGCCAAGCAGGTGTGCTTTTATCAAACCAATTTTCCACTAGCTACCACTAAGTCAATATACTTTATCTAGGTTGCAACAGGCTCTGTAGAAATGAGGTGTTCCATAAGACCATGTAGAAACTGACCGGGTGGCATTACTGATCTATGCTGGACTGCTGCCCATGGACTATCATGAATAAAGGATAAGGGGATCCTGCCCATCTCTGCCAATCATTGGATTGAGTAAATCAGGGTCAGGTTTCTTTAAAACATTTAGGAAACTTGGTTCACCTATTGCACTGTTTCCAGAGCACTGTTCTTCGGGACTCTCCAATGCGCTTTACCCCTCAGATTCTATGGTGGAGCTAGGAAGTCCTTACCACACCTGGTTTCTAGTCAGTGGGGTGGTGAACAGAGGATTTTCCTTCAGAGTGTTAGAGTGAATTCCTCCACTATTGGAGAATGTTGGCGAAGTTGGAGTCCCTCCTACCTGGGTCCCTGGATGTTTTTTCCCACCTGTTGGTGGGAGTGGCACCAGTCTACATGGCAGCCTACTCATATTACCAGTTCAGATTTGTCACTCGGCTATCTGGTTGGGGCATGTATGGCCCTTCTTTTTGATCAATGCTGGTTCAGTACATTGTTCATGGAAGAGGGTCCATTGTCTCCTTCAGATTCTGAATGTGAAGTGGTACCATCCTGGGTCATTGGTTGAGCACGTTTGTTCCACATCCTTCCTATAATTCCGAGAGCAAGTGGAATATACTTTGCTTACACAATGAGAGTAAGGATGAGTGTGGCTACAGGTTGAGATCCACTCATACGTGTGTGTGTGTGTATATACATATATATATGTATATATATTATGTTTGCGGTCCTATTGCCCTAGCCACAAATGTGGGATATAGGGACCAGGACCCCTTAATTCCAACCCTAAATAATGAAATCTCAGCTATCTGGTTGGAACATGGCCTAGAGTGAAGATAACTCATGTAAAATTCCACCCACAATACATGAATTAAGTTCCGGGTGAAGAGCATACCTGTTCTGAAAGGTAGTGTGGTTCCCCCTCTAGGGTTCCAAACTTCTATTGACACACACATGATCTATGTGGATTCTTTCTGTGTGGATAATGCCCTCACCAGCCCCTCCACCATCTCAATGTGGGATTCTAGCTATAAGTGTCAGTGGATGGTAAGTATGTTTAGGAAATTAACATGTCCTAAATTGCAAATAATACTTACGTCCCCTCATACTCTCCCATTCTTCTTTCCCACTAAGAGCCAGTGTTAGAGACTGGGATTGAGTCAGTCTCGAAAAAGTGATAACATTATCTGAATGAGGTGCTTATATACAATACCAGAATAGAGGTTGCATTGATGTAGATGGAGAGTGTCATGAGATAAATATTGCCAAGGCAATTAAGTGGGGTATTATAAAAGACTGAAGCAAGTGAGAAAAAATCAGACCAATGCTTTGATGGGCAAAAGAAGAAACCCTGGCAGTTGTGTAATAGCTATAAGTGTGAACCTTTGGGTAAGTATTATTGGAAATACATTTTCAATTTTGGAAAATGTTAACTTCTGTTGTACTGTGACTTGATTGTAGCATGAATCACTTTGATAAGTTCAATATGTATTATAGTTTTAATACATGTACTTCAATATAGTGGAGGTCACCCTCAGAAAAATATATATAAACTGGTACCAACTGTGTGTACAGGTGTTTTGTGGTCAGTATTTATCACTTCATTTCCTTCTCTGATCAACTCTTGCTTGACTGTCATGGAGTCATGTATAGATTACTGAAATATGTTTGTTATAAGAAATAGCTTTTCAGGTTTTGTTATTGATTACATTTCTTATTGTGAAGATTTGTCTTTATGAAAAATTATCTGGATTGTTGATGTCTGGACTAATGAGGTTTCAGTGTATGCATTAACAAAGTCAGGCTTAGTTTGTAGTGTTTTTCATGCCCTTCTTTTGTACACAGTAGAAAAGTCAGAATTTTATTCCATAGTGTTAATAATTTTCTGATTTGGTGGTGAGATGTCATTTGAATTTGCCATTCTTTCTTAATTGGTGTAATTCATAAACACCAGCTAGTATAAGACATTATGTACAAATTTGATTACAAACATTTTTAAGTAATGTAATAAAAAAAAACATAATTTTTTAGGATTTTCATATTTAATCTTTTTTCCATGTTTATTAAACATCTAATGTTGCTTAACTTTTATCAGGTTTTGATGGAATATTTAATGAGAATTCGGTTTCTAAAAATTAGATGTGAAAAAACAAAACCTAGCATAGAATTAGTTTGTATATTAAAGATTTATATAGAATACAGTGTTTTTTTAACACCTTATAGATGATATACTCACAAGTGAAATCCCAGCTTAATCAAGACAAGCCTGAAGCTAAGAGTACTGGAAACCTTTACATTAAGGTTTGTATTTATGTTAAAAGACTTTTGCTAAGGAACTGTTTTAAACAGAGCTAGGAAAATTTGATGACTATCTGTGGCTTGTGCTAAGTTAGCATTACAAACTCTGAAAAAATTTTCTTTAGTGTATTATTTACTCAAATTATGTGAAAGTAACTGGTGTATTCTATTCTGGTCACACAAAGGTTTTTACTATAAAGACTTTGCTATTCAAACAGTACTGATGAAAAGTTACTTCCCACTTGTGTTTAAACAATACGTGTTGCAAATTGCATAAAATCATGAAACTGTTGTTGACATATTTAGTAAGCGATAAAAATACAAATGTATCCTCGTTCACAGTCTATATGAATTTATTATAGCCTTGAGCCTAATTCTCATAATCAGTAATCCAAAAGAATACTTGTACACCTTATGACATGCTGTATTGTTGCTTCTGTTGTTGTCATAAATGTGCTTCATAAAGTAATTATATACTCATATGTCATTTCTAAAAGTGCTCATGTAAATTTGCACATAAAATACCTATTCTGTAGTTAGATATTGAGGATTAAACATTTTTCCCATAATAAAAGCAGTTCTGTTAAGGTTCTTGCTATTAAACATTCTACTTATTCCTAGGATGAAAATAGAAATAGTGAAACAAGTTTTACATTAAATACGCTTCAACAAACTCAAGAAGCCACCTTGAAAATTTTACGATCCACAACAGAAACAACTAAGGCTGTGTTTTCCTCTGTAACAGGTGCTCAAATTTGGAAAGATACAGCAAAGTAAGACCTTTTCTTTGATGCATTTTGAGCATTTTTGTGGGTAAATTACCAGTGAGTTAACTAAAGAATATTTAGACAAGCCTTAAAAATGTAATATTTGTTCAAGTTCAAAAATGTGTTCTGAAATGTATTGTGTAATTAACACAGGAAATTCTGTGGTGCTTCTAAGTACATGTATGATATACTAGTGCTTATATGTGTGTGCCTATCTACGTACTCTACTATTCTCATACACCAGCCCCAGACATCCGGTGAATTAGCAGCCTCATTGGATGTAGTCATCATCAAATCTGAAAATGAAACCACAAAATATTTTACACATGGGTTAAAATTGGCACTAAACAACCAACAGTTTTTTTTTTTCTCTTTTTATGCCAAACTTCATTAATGTTTGTACACACGTATCTTCTTTTTTTTCTTCTTTGAACAGAAATTCACATTTGCGAAATTGAAACTTTATCTGGATTTTTGGTCATTTTCACAGTTAATGCCCATGATTAGTAGTGGTTGTCATGGGATTTTGTTTAAAGTTGAATACAGGAAACAATATACCCTAAATATTGACAGAATGATTATCATTAGATACATTTATATGTGTGTTCGGGTCAAAGTGTGCAAGTCATGACCTTTTACAGTTACATTCAAAATTTAATCAAACAATCTTCTTTACAATATATTTCAGTAATCTTGGCAGTGAAACATAGTTTATAATTCAAGTTTTAATATTTTTTAAGTTTTAATTTTTTAATTTCAATAGGAAGTATTTAAATAAATTGTCATGTGACACTTCATTGCTCCAAGTTGTTCATTTTAGATATTCTTTCTATCCGTATTTAGCCTTCTGAGTTTAAAATAAATTATACACTTATAGTTAAGATATTGCTTAAAATCTCCAATCATCTTTTATTGAGATATAAACCAGAAAGTCAAACCGATATGCCACACCCTTCTATCACATCCTTTTTTTTTCTCCAAAAATCTCAATAATTCTCTTTCAGGTTTTCTATTGGATTATTTATAACCAATTTAAAGAGAAGATTTTAATTTACTGAATTCTTTATAAGGCTAGCTCATCCTGATGATTATTGTTTTAAATATTTAGCCAAGTGTTTCATTGTTTTTATCACTGAGATCACATTGACCAGCCAACAGAATTATTATAACCTGGTTGTAGCTTATTAAAAAGCCAAATAATTTATAATAGTTTTAAGACATTGTTTTTTTTTTTTACAAGTTAATGTTTTATAAATTGGTTATCTTAGCTTAGAAAAAAAAATGTACAGACTATGAAGAACCATACCAAAAAGTAGTTTAAGTTTTGATGAGACAGTGATGATCAAGTACAAGATCCACACATGAGCACAAAATATCTTGTTATTTATGTATATACATAGGTTTATTTATTATAGATGAAACTAAAATGTAAAAATTAGAAATTTATTAGGTTAGATAGAAAATGGAATAAAAATAATTTCTTATCAAAGAATGCAAGCAAGCTGGTTTTGCATAATATAATTCAATATTTTGTTTTCTATTCCTTGCATTATACTCTCGCCAGGTGATTTATTGCTTTGATATGCTAGTTTAGTAGTTAAGACATGATTCAAAGAGCAATAAAACAATAAAGTTAAATGGAAGCAGTTGTGAAAAGGTTAGAGGACAGAAGATTTTAGGATAAATAACTGTAATTATCTGCCACAATATGCAATAATTTTATAAAAAAAAGAGTAATTTAGATTTATTTATCTCTTTTTTTTATATGGTTATTACAAGTTTGATCAAATTGATTGAGCCCATATGCAGTTAGCGTTAGGGTAGAGAAAATAACAGATACGACATAAAATTTTATTGAAAAAAATGTTATATTCATTTACAAGGACCCAGAGGTAATGTGAATGAAATATGAAAACTGTAAGATGGAAAAAATTATTTCTATTCTTAACATGAAAATCACTTTGCATTCAGACTAGTCTGAGTTAGACTGACTGAAGTAAATTCAGAGATAAATTTTCAGTAGAAATACATGAGGCTGGTAGATTTGAATTCAGTTTGAAGTTCAAAGAATCTGGTGAGTTACTAAGACACTGATGGGTTTATAACTTACTTGGCAGTGTAAACCACTTGTCTTATTATTTAACATTGCTTACTTTTTGAGCTGAGCATAGCTTAGTGGTTATGAAGCAGACCTACTGATTGAAGGTCCAAGGTTAAGTTATAAAAGTGAGTCAATACCATCATTGGATCAAAACCCTTGTTGTGAAAAATGCTGCTAACTGGCTGGCATCCTTCTGGATAGTAGTTCAAAATTAGGTGTGGCTCTACCTGGACTCAAGAATAGTGTCTAAAGGTGTTTAACCCATGTACGAGTACGGTGCTATTCAGATTGAGGACACCAATACTAATGTTTAATTTGTAATAATTGTGATTTGCTCATAATTAAAAACACACATTTGATCATATATTATGCTTTCTAAACTGTACTGGAACTCAGAAAAAAGTAAAAATTATATGAGGTTATTCTACCTTTTTTAATTCTTTGATAATGTTGTCTTGATTTATGGTGTAATGTTATTTTTCATTAGTGAACAGCAAAGCTTAAAAACAATTTTTTTTAATTCATTTAAGTTTTAGAAAATAATGAAAGATCAACTTGAACTAGAAAAATATATGTAGTTAAAATAAACATTGTATTTTATTCACTGGGTTACATATATATATATATATATATATATATATAT